ATGGGCTTCGAATGTCCTGTATCATCCGGTGGAAACAAAATATAAATGACTTACTCTTTTTCTTTTTTTCTTTTTGTATTTAGTAGCAAAAATGTATACCATTCAACAAGTTTATGTATTAATCAAGATTAAATTCTTTTTTTAATTAATTTTATAGATATATCTTTTAAAATGATTAATAAACTTCTCTTAACAATAATTTCTAAACTCGATCATAAGAAATAAAACCTAAAGTAATTACTCGCAAATGCTAGGAGTCATTACAGTTCTTGTCTTGTAATGACAGAGAATGTTGCATCCTTGATGCTGTTCTAACATTTTAGAATTTGTGAACCACTTGTATCTTGTTCCAATCCACTACATTACAAGCATGCCACCATTACAACTCAAATCTAAAGTTGTTTGAAACAAATAAAAACCTCTAAAATAATATTGATGAGGTGTGTCAATTTATGCGGCATGGTAGTTACATTATAAAATATTATTCCACATAATTTCTAATAGATATCTCATAATAAAATAAATGTTTTTACTACCATATAAACAATCAAAGTCTTCATCTTCTAACTGATATAAGATAATGACCTTATTAAATATATTTATAAATTTATAATTTTACAATTCAAGTTCTAAAACATAGTTTTATTACTTGTATAAATCATATATATAAAAAATATATTTATAATTTTACTATTTAAGTTTATATTGTAATTTTCATATTTAAAAAAAAAAAGGGTTTTTTTTTACAGCCTTGCTGGATAGTTATGGCACACAGGCCAGACAACTCGGCCCCCAAGAGCATCAAAGTCGTCCCTTTGCTCCTTTTTGTCATCAAATTCAAACAAGCACATCCAATATTTGGAATGTTTAGTGTATATTTGTTGCCGTACGTGTTGTTTTCTAGAGGGTAATAATTTTCAAAGGGACAAATGAATCTTCTGTCATCAATGCAGTGAGTCCAGAAAATGACTGCTTGTTTCTACCCCACGTTCAAAACCTCCACACCAGACGTCAATTTAATCTGCAGGAACTTTCCTATCGTCCATGGAAATGAATAATAAATACTATCATGTTATCCAGTTCATCCCTTTTGATAAATCAACATATTAGAAATTGGAATATTTTCACAAAAAAGGGTTTAGAATTTAGATCACTTACTTCTTCTTTTTTTTTAAAACACGTTGTGTTTCTTGGTCATAGAATTTATAATCAGCCCCCGAATTTGAAAGTAGCTAAAAGATGTGATGTTATTTAGCATGGAAATTCGACTTGTAATGTTTTAAGTGTTTGTTGTCGTAATTAATGAAATATTAAATAATTAATTTAATTTAATAATTTAAATGGTTAAATGTTCATATTGTTTTTAAATATATCTTACATCTTTAAGTTTAAATTTTTTAAGCTTGAAATTTACATGAGTTTATATTATTTTATTTTTTATTTTTTATCAAATAAATAAGAATAATAAGATTTAAAGTTATAATCATTTGGTTATAAAAAATAATATCATCTTAAATAATTATTTTAATCTAATAATTTAAATTATTAGATAGAATTTTAAAATATAATTTATATTATTTTATAATATAAATAATATTTTTAATTTAGAATTATATTAAAATATTAAAAAAACTAACAATATTCGTCTTAGAGTGGGTAACTAAGCCTGCCTTGCAGCTTCTCCTTAAAAGTCTCACCATAAAATAGTATAAAAAAAGAAATTGAACCCAACCCATGCAAAGGACAAAGAGAAATGGCTTGGGCAAAAAGGAATGGGATGGTGAACGTCATGGCTTAGGCTATATTCTCTTTTTGTCAGCATCATCCCTTCCAGAATCCAGTGTGCTGAAGATACAGCTATCATCTGTGCATGCTTCTTCTTCCTTTTGACATTTTAGATTCAAAATCAGAGACACCTCCTACTATAAACATGTTGCATATGCCCACCTACCAACGTAGTTTACTCTATTTTGCATGTTGTTTATATAAAACACCATGTATCAAGAAAGAACAAATATATCCTCTAATATATATAATAGCACATAAACAATTAAAATTTTCTATTCAGGGAAAAAAATAAAAGTCTAGAACACAATCTCTAAACTCCGAATTGATTTCGAAACCTATTTTTTGGGCATAGGGGAAAATTGAAGAATCCGGTGTGCTATTGCTTGCAGTTTTAGTTTAAGGAGCTGCACGAACATTGCGCTTAGAACCATCGAAGGAGCACTATGGTTGCTCGATAAACTTACTGTGCCGATCGAGGGGGCCTCTTGGACGTGGCTTACAATTTTGTAGAGACTCTGCCCGCCTCCCCAGATCCAGTAATTTGCAGAACATTACTCGTAGGTTTGCAGGAAGGATGTCATGTAGCAGAGCTGAAATGGTTGATCATGAATGGCTTTTAATTTGAACAAGAACCACTAAATGCAAAAAATTATAGTGTCTGAAATTCTCAATGCTTCGTTTTCATCCGTGAAGGTAAGTATTGTCCAGACGCATCTGATCCATCGCTAGAGGCTGACAGATTTGTCGATAACTAGTTTTAATTCTCGCAATTCATGTGATCTTCTGATTCCGGTATTCACCAAGCACAGGTGACAAAATCAACCTCAAGAGATTAACTGATTAGATTTTAATTTTTTTAAAAAATTATTAATTTGAATATTATACATTTTAGAATTATTAAAAATTTATATAATTTTTAAATTTTAAATTTTAAAAAAATTAATCATGTAAATTAACCTAAACACCAATGATTATTATAAAAAAAAGGAGGACGAAACCATCTTGTCAGCTTGAAAAATCACTTGAGCTTAAAGAGGTATAAACGATACAGCTGAATTCAAGTTGGTGGCTATGCTTTCATGTTTGGCAAAGAGAGGAAGAGATTTTTTTAGTGGTAATATCATTATGTTAAAGCAATAAAGATTATTTAGTCATTAAATTGAATATAATAATAAACATATAAATAATTCAATATTTTTTTATTATTTTTATTGACTTTTTCTTAGTATCATATAAAATATTATCAATTTATAAAATTCAACATACTTTCTGTAGTTTTTGAAACAATGTAGCCTAAATTAACTTAGTAATATTCTTACTGAATATTAAAATCTGAAGAGCCTTAGAGTATTTTGAAAAATTAAATTGGTAAAATAGTATTTTAAATAGTATAAATATAGCATATTTTATTATATCTATTCTAATAGAAAAAAATCATTTGAAAAGTCATTTATATTAGAGTAAAAAAAAACAAGTATTTTATTATTTTTTAATATATTTAATATTATTTTTTTTTATATTTACATTTAATTGGTCTATTTTTTTAGTAGTTACACTTTGTTAGTTTTGGTTTTTTAAAGAGATATATAAAAATAATATTTATGAAAGAAAAAAGATATTTTAATATTTTATTTGACTTTTAATTATGCAAAACAAATAAAAAAATATTAAAATATTAATTTTTTTATTTTTTCTGTTCATTTACCTCCTCCATGGGAGATGCTCTTACAAGAAGTTTCCACACACGTATAATTAATTAATTAATTAATTAATCAATTAACTAGTTCTGGTTACTATAAGTACTGTCCCTCTCCTTTTCGACCAAGACACAATCTTTCAACCTATACATCAAAGCAAGAGAGAGAGAGAGAGCATACATACAAGCATATAACCTTGTGTGTCAAACTATACAAGGAAGGCAAGGAGGATCAAGGAGCTCTTCTGGGCCTTCGAAACTTCAGACTATTTTTCATATTGTGGGTACGTAAAACCATTTATTTTTCCCTTACATTTCTTGATTCTTGCAGGATTTAAATTAATTCAAAAGTGCATATATATATATATGATATTCTTTTTTTAAATATAAGGGTGGATCATAATTCATTTCTTTTAGTCGAAGGGTTTTGTAACTTCTCAAAATATATCTCAGGATTTTTATAGCTTCTCTAAGTTGGTTTGCCATGTCTAATCTTGCCGTCAGATTCTTTTTATGCTATGATCCAAGTTTTTTTTTTTCAGGATTCTTAATTCGAACTGACAAGATTTTATGAATAGATTAATTTATATTTTATTGTCAATTATGATCAAGAACCGAACCGAGCAATTAATTTGATAAGAATTTGATTATT